ATGTGAGCAGTAGTTTTTAATGGCTAATCGAAGAAGGCTAAAAGTAGTATTAAAGTAAATGACACCCCTTTGTATTCCGTCCATGAGCTACTGTACATAAGCAGAGACTGTGCTATTTTTGCAAATGTGCCAGAGCTAGCCTGAACTCACACCAAAACCAGAAACCCACTCGTATCGTAACTAAACGAACATTCAAATGCACAAATAATGTGCCCTTGCATCCTGTCCTTCATCTGCCCCACCTACTTGCCCCACCCCCTCTCTCATTAACTTACACTCATTTATTTAAATAGCTGCGTACAGTGTGAGATAATTAGAGGGCAAAACCGGATAAGTTGCTGCGTCTGCTTTATTTTTATTAGTCAGCGTTTTAAATAACCAGAAAATATGGACATATGAAAGTCGGACACTAAACAGAGAAAAGGATATTAAGGCTGGGAAATTCTATCATCATGCCTGCTCGGCATTCAATCACAAATATTTAACTAATGGCAACTGGTGATGAAACTGCTCTTGGCTTTATGCAGAACTATACTCAGAAAGAACTGCTGATATTCTGTGGAAATAGATGATTTATCCCATATGCCGTAAACCTAGTGGCGGTGTTGCTTTATCTGGAAGATCTACTTGTTTACTGTAACTCCAAACAGTTTTGAGAACGAGCGACCAGCCAGCAGATAGAGTATGTAAGAATGTAACTACACAAACAGAAACCCATGCTAACAAATATGCAGTATTTGTGTTTGCACATTTGACCATGTGTGTGTGCACAAACACTCAAACCTCGGATGAACACTTTCAGTTCAGTGAGAAATGTATTTCAAATCCCTGTTTACACTTGGAGCCAAGCACAGTCTTCTGATTCAAACATTACGCAGGGAGTGCCTTGCCCTCACACTCAAACACTTCACAGATGCGCCCTAAGCCCGCTGTGTTGGGGACGGGAGTGTTGCTGCATATGAACACGTCATTGTCACTTCCACACACACCCACAGGCAATCCCATCTATCTAGCACAAAGCCCAGACGTCCTCCTAGGTGTGTCAACACTGTACAGCATGTCAAAAACCACAGCAATGCTTTGTTATACTGACCTATTATTGCGGAGAGATTAGAGACGCCGTGCCAGAGAGATAACTGTTACATCCCAGTAACTTGTCTAAACCTGATGTTGAACCTGAGTTAAACTGAGGCCTAAACAACGTGTGTAAGCGCCTGGTATGCTGTTTGCAGTCAATAGCAGCCATTTGTTCCTGTTTTGTGTGTGTGTGTGTGTGTGTGTGTGTTCGCATGTATGTGTGTGCTAAACCTGTAAGTCAGGACAGGTTAACACACGTCAGCCTGTGAGCAATTCACGCTTCTGGTTGAAGAAGAAAATGTTAGAGGAAGACAAAAGGAAGTAAAATTAAAGTAAAGTAAAGAGAGATTTATCAGCAGCAGCAGGGGATCAAAACTGTGTTTGGTTAGGACGAAGGTGAAATGAGAGAAATCTAATTAATCTAGTGTGTGTCCTGTGTTAATAAGCCCAGC